CAGTTCTAGTTCAGTTCTAGTTCAGTTCTAGTTCAGTTCTAGTTCAGTTCTAGTTCTAGTTCAGTTCTAGTTCAGTTCTAGTTCAGTTCTAGTTCAGTTCTAGTTCAGTTCTAGTTCAGTTCTAGTTCAGTTCTAGTTCAGTTCTAGTTCAGTTCTAGTTCAGTTCTAGTTCAGTTCTAGTTCAGTTCTAGTTCAGTTCTAGTTCAGTTCAGTTCTAGTTCAGTTCTAGTTCAGTTCTAGTTCAGTTCTAGTTCAGTTCTAGTTCAGTTCTAGTTCAGTTCTAGTTCAGTTCTAGTTCAGTTCTAGTTCAGTTCTAGTTCAGTTCTAGTTCAGTTCTAGTTCAGTTCTAGTTCTAGTTCAGTTCTAGTTCAGTTCTAGTTCAGTTCTAGTTCAGTTCTAGTTCTAGTTCAGTTCAGTTCTAGTTCAGTTCTAGTTCAGTTCTAGTTCAGTTCTAGTTCAGTTCTAGTTCAGTTCTAGTTCAGTTCTAGTTCAGTTCTAGTTCAGTTCTAGTTCAGTTCTAGTTCAGTTCTAGTTCAGTTCTAGTTCAGTTCTAGTTCAGTTCTAGTTCAGTTCTAGTTCAGTTCTAGTTCAGTTCTAGTTCAGTTCTAGTTCAGTTCTAGTTCAGTTCTAGTTCAGTTCTAGTTCAGTTCTAGTTCAGTTCTAGTTCAGTTCTAGTTCAGTTCTAGTTCAGTTCTAGTTCAGTTCTAGTTCAGTTCTAGTTCAGTTCTAGTTCAGTTCTAGTTCAGTTCTAGTTCAGTTCTAGTTCAGTTCTAGTTCAGTTCTAGTTCAGTTCTAGTTCAGTTCTAGTTCAGTTCTAGTTCAGTTCTAGTTCAGTTCTAGTTCAGTTCTAGTTCAGTTCTAGTTCAGTTCTAGTACAAAACAAACATTTGTATTCAAACAATTTAGATTTTTAAGGCCTAAACATTTTCTGAACATATTAATACCAAAGGCCTCTAATATCATGCCACTATTTATGAACTTTTCTTATTCAGAATGAAAATAGTTTGGGAAAGAAGTCATGATCCATTCATACTATTTATCAAAAAATTCGTTCCAGTTATGCGTTATTTGTTTCTGTGCATATGCTTCGTATTCATGAGGGAATGTATCCCACAGCTTATAATTTTCGAGCAATCTAATCAAAAATATCTCACGTTTGAGGATAATCACACCAGTGAATGGTTTTCTGAAGAAAACTTTAAACCATTTAAGTTATATTTAGGAAACACATTTGTATTCTTCGATATTATTTTAACCATTTCAATAGGCATCGACCGTAGAGCCATGATTAGAATAAATATGTTTCTAAAATGGCTAGACTGAATTAGTCCTCCCCAAAGTGTTGGCAGAAATTTGGTTTTCTCAGAACTGAGTAATCAACAAACTTGTAAAAAAAATACAAATATTCTAATTTATTTACGAATGAAAAAAAATCAAACAGTAATTAATGCCAATTTTGATTTTAAACGGAAATGCAATTTATCAAATTAAATAATAAAAGTCCATTAAAATAGTAAATTATAGCTAAAAAGTAGACATCTGTATTCCGCAGCTAACTATTAGCTGGGATATTTTTCCAATAAAAAAAACAACAAAATGCATTTATTGTTTGCTTGCAATTACGTATAGAATATTAATTGAAACCTTTATAGAATTTTTAATTTCATTTCAACAAAAAATTGCACACTTTTTAATAAACAAAATATTTAATTAATTTGTTTATTTATTTTCGTCTTTATTGAATTACAGAATCTAGCATTACAGTGCGTATCATCCTATCCAGCCACTTCAACTGATGCCACCACTCACATTGTCAGCTATGTACATCAACGTAAAATTCAAAAGCAACAGCAGAAAAAGGGTTCCGAATTTGATGAATTTGATTTTGAGAATTTTCGTTCAAATTTAACCTCCAAGGATTATCCTGAAATGCGTGGAGCTTTACAACAACTGTTTGGGCGTTTCGTTGAGAATTTCGAAACAAATTTAGATCAACTGGAAAATGTCGTACCCAAAAATGGAAATTATAAAGAGAGTATAAAAGATAATGAAATTTCCTATAGCCCGGTGAGCGATGATTTAATGGATGATCAAATGAATACCCTGGATAATGGTTTTGGAGATAATGAACAACATGAGTCTCCTAAAAATGAGACCATGTGGCAACGTTCTAAACAAAGTATACCCGTTTTGGAGTCCGTTCGTCACTTAGTGAATAGTGTACGTGATGGTCATCTCAATCATACGGAACATGTTCAACGTCATCGTACTTTACTGAGTGAAATGCAACCTATGCCTGAGCAAAACGCTTCGATGGCCATCGAGACTGAGGAGGAACGTGAAATGATTAATGAAAGTTCTGATCTGAAATTTTTAGAAGTTTTAGGTTCTATAGGCAGTAAAGTATGGGGTTTTCTATCGAATATAAGACAAGTATTTGCTGCCAGCTCGGGAAGTGCTAGTGCTGCCCTATCGGCGTCAAGTTCATCAAGTAGTTCTTAATTTTCAAAAGGAAAAACACTATATTTGAAAATTTTGATTCATATTCATGTTAAATTTAAAGGGCTCCCTTAATTTTGGGAGTACTTTAAAACTGTGATTAACCATTTTAAAATGTTATTTTAATTTTTAAGTGTTGCTATTCGATAAATTTATAAATATTATAAAATTAATAAGATACGAATAAAATTAATGATATCAATATGAAATTAAATTCAATTTTTTTTCAGTTGTAGTTCAGTTCAAGGTCAGTGCAAGTTCAGTGCAAGTTCAAGTTCAAGTTCAGTTCATTTTAAGTTCAGTTCTAGTTCAGTTCTAGTTCAGTTCTAGTTCAGTTCTAGTTCAGTTTCTAGTTCAGTTCTAGTTCAGTTCTAGTTCAGTTCTAGTTCAGTTCTAGTTCAGTTCTAGTTCAGTTCTAGTTCAGTTCTAGTTCAGTTCTAGTTCAGTTCTAGTTCAGTTCTAGTTCAGTTCTAGTTCAGTTCTAGTTCAGTTCTAGTTCAGTTCTAGTTCAGTTCTAGTTCAGTTCTAGTTCAGTTCTAGTTCAGTTCTAGTTCAGTTCTAGTTCAGTTCTAGTTCAGTTCTAGTTCAGTTCTAGTTCAGTTCTAGTTCAGTTCTAGTTCAGTTCTAGTTCAGTTCTAGTTCAGTTCTAGTTCAGTTCTAGTTCAGTTCTAGTTCAGTTCTAGTTCAGTTATAGTTCAGTTCTGTTCAGTTCTAGTTTCAGTTCTAGTTCAGTTCTAGTTCAGTTCTAGTTCAGTTCTAGTTCAGTTCTAGTTCAGTTCTAGTTCAGTTTCTAGTTCAGTTCTAGTTCAGTTCTAGTTCAGTTCTAGTTCAGTTCTAGTTCAGTTCTAGTTCAGTTCTAGTTCAGTTCTAGTTCAGTTCTAGTTCAGTTCTAGTTCAGTTCTAGTTCAGTTCTAGTTCAGTTCTAGTTCAGTTCTAGTTCAGTTCTAGTTCAGTTCTAGTTCAGTTCTAGTTCAGTTCTAGTTCAGTTCTAGTTCATTTCTAGTTCAGTTCTAGTTCAGTTCTAGTTCAGTTCTAGTTCAGTTCTAGTTCAGTTCTAGTTCAGTTCTAGTCAGTTCTAGTTCAGTTCTAGTTCAGTTCTAGTTCAGTTCTAGTTCAGTTTCTAGTTCAGTTCTAGTTCAGTTCTAGTTCAGTTCTAGTTCAGTTCTAGTTCAGTTCTAGTTCAGTTCTAGTTCAGTTCTAGTTAGTTCTAGTTCAGTTCTAGTTCAGTTTCTAGTTCAGTTCTAGTTCAGTTCTAGTTCAGTTCTAGTTCAGTTCTAGTTCAGTTCTAGTTCAGTTCTAGTTCAGTTCTAGTTCAGTTCTAGTTCAGTTCTAGTTCAGTTCTAGTTCAGTTCTAGTTCAGTTCTAGTTCAGTTCTAGTTCAGTTCTAGTTCAGTTCTAGTTCAGTTCTAGTTCAGTTCTAGTTCAGTTCTAGTTCAGTTCTAGTTCAGTTCTAGTTCAGTTCTAGTTCAGTTCTAGTTCAGTTCTAGTTCAGTTCTAGTTCAGTTCTAGTTTCAGTTCTAGTTCAGTTTCTAGTTCAGTTCTAGTTCAGTTCTAGTTCAGTTCTAGTTCAGTTCTAGTTCAGTTCTAGTTCAGTTCTAGTTCAGTTCTAGTTCAGTTCTAGTTCAGTCTGTTCAGTTCTAGTTCAGTTCTAGTTCAGTTCTAGTTTCAGTTCTAGTTCAGTTCTAGTTCAGTTCTAGTTCAGTTCTAGTTCAGTTTAGTTCAGTTCTAGTTCTAGTTCAGTTCTAGTTCAGTTCTAGTTCAGTTCTAGTTCAGTTCTAGTTCAGTTCTAGTTCAGTTCTAGTTCAGTTCTAGTTCAGTTCTAGTTCAGTTCTAGTTCAGTTCTAGTTCAGTTCTAGTTCAGTTCTAGTTCAGTTCTAGTTCAATTCTAGTTCAGTTCTAGTTCAGTTCTAGTTCAGTTCTAGTTCAGTTCTAGTTCAGTTCTAGTTCAGTTCTAGTTCAGTTCTAGTTCAGTTCTAGTTCAGTTCTAGTTCAGTTCTAGTTCAGTTCTAGTTCAGTTCTAGTTCAGTTCTAGTTCAGTTCTAGTTCAGTTCTAGTTCAGTTCTAGTTCAGTTCTAGTTCAGTTCTAGTTCAGTTCTAGTTCAGTTCTAGTTTAGTTCTAGTTCAGTTCTAGTTCAGTTCTAATTCAGTTCTAGTTCAGTTCTAGATCAGTTCTAGTTCAGTTCTAGTTCAGTTCTAGTTCAGTTCTAGTTCAGTTCAGTTCTAGGTCAGTTCTAGTCTAGTTCAGTTCTAGTTCAGTTCTATTTCAGTTCTAGTTCAGTTCTAGTTCAGTTCTAGTTCAGTTCTAGTTCAGTTCTAGTTCAGTTCTAGTTCAGTTCTAGTTCAGTTCTAGTTTAGTTCTAGTTCAGTTCTAGTTCATAATATATTCAAACACTTTAGACTTTTAAGGCCTAAATATTTTCTGTACATTTTAGTACCAAAGGCCGCTAATATCAACCCTATTCTACAGAATTTTATCCAACAATAGAACTTCTAAAAAATGTCTCCACAAAAAATAGCAATCACTTTTTTAATTGCCAGGAAAAATAAAAAATTTAATAATCAAAAATAAAATTAGTTGTGTAAAATTGAAAAAATTAAAAAAAATTTAAATAATTAATTTTATTTTGATATATTTTACTAAATTTTTAGTAAAAAATTTACAATACATGTATAAAAATGCGGAGTATAGCTAAAATTTCACCATCTATTAAAGTAAGTATTTATTTAAAAAATTGATGATTTTGGATTAAAAAGTCATAGCATTATTTTACAGATTACGGCACGTTTATCATGCAATACCAATGTACGACGTTATACCTCTCTGGTGCAAGTTCAGGAAAGGCAAAACAATGATCAACAACTATTATGGAGCAATTTGGCAATGAGAAGATTTTATGGAACGAATAAATCGGATATAACAAATAAAAGTTTTGTTAAAACTGATATCTTTAATACGTTTCCAGAAAATAGTTCCAGTTCAATTCTACCAATTGCTCTGATAGATTTAAATCCCCGTAGTAATAATTCATCGAAAGTATTACTGATACCTTTAAATTGGCACGACGCAGATGAACATTCTATGAGAACTACAATAACGTCTATATTTTCAAAACCTAAAAATCTGCAACAAATTGAGGCTTTCAGTCAAGCATTAAAAGATGTTCCCGGTTATCAGAAACCTAAATCAAGGGCCATTCCAAATAAAGAAGAATCTAAAGGTTTGACTAAAGAGCCAAGAAAAGAAGTAAATGTGAAAGAATCTGAGACATCTGACAAACAAGTTATTAATACCTCCTTTGAGAATCTCGCGGCCGATAGTTTTGATACTGTGGATCGTTTAGCCGCAGCTGTGGAGAGATCTTTACAGCAATGTTGTTTACATTCGATGCAAATGTTTGTTGATGACAATATCTTTAGTGAAAGAATCAAGGGTCTCAAACTGTTAGCAGTACCTTCAAAGTTCCATGAAAATAATATAATAAATGATATAGACCTCCCGGAACCACATAGTCCTATAAGCATAATGAAAATAGATGCTTCTAAATTGAATTTAAAGGACTTTTCATGGAATGCCGAAATAGCTTTTTCAGAAAATTTAACAAATATAACCCTTCCCATATCCTTTTCGAAGAAGTCGTACTCAACTAGGACGATAGCTCTCTCAAAACAAAAAGCTCTCACTGAAGATTGTCAAACGTTAGCTATTTTACCTAAAAGTAATCCGCAAAAAATTCCAGCATTAAACATACTTCGTAAAGCATCTAGCAGCAGTGTTTCTTCGAAATGTAATCCAAATTATGATTTTCCATATCTTTCGAAATTGTTCGGCACAAAGGAATTGTTAATGAGTTGTGATGCCTATAACAAGGCTTTAATCGAGGCCGAGAAACGAAGGGCCGCCTTAACAGAGTGTGCAGCGTTAAGCAAAAAACTACCACTAAATGCATCACCTAATCGACCTCAAGTGATAAACATTAAAGGGTGCAGTGATCCTAATTTACAGCAAACTGCCAACAAAATTTCCAGCCCTTGTCCACCCCCGGCGAAACCTAAAAAACAAGCAAGTAATGGTTGCAAAAAAGATGATCCTTGTAAACCGCCAGAATGTCCCAATCCTTGTAAAGATGAATTGGAAAAATTAAATCGTCTAAAAGAGGAGGAAATGAAAAAGAAAAGAAATAAAATGCCAACCGGATGTAAGTCTCCCAAATGCAAAAAGGAGGATAGTTGTACTAAATTCCGTAAAAGTCCTTGCAAAAAGGCTACAAATCAATCAACAAATGGAGAAATGAAATGTTCCTCAAAATCTCCTGATAATGTTAAACAAATGGCAGATAGTTGTAAAAAAGACGATCCCTGTAAACCTCCGGAATGTCCAAATCCTTGCAAAAATGAAATGGAAAAATTAAATCGTTTAAAGGATGAAGAAATGAAAAGGAATAGAAATAAAACGCCTACTGGCTGCATTTCCCCCAAATGCAAAAAAGAGGATACCTGTACTAAGCTCAAGGATAGTCCTTGCAAAAAAGCAAGTGCCAAAGATTGTTCTAGTGATTCCCAGGGATCCGTGAAGTGTAACAAAAAACCTGATGCCAATAAAGGTAAGTCTGATTCTTGTGGTAAATCCAAGGATAAAAAACAAAAAAATCCCTGCTTGGATGACCACAAAGAGTATAAACCAAAATGTAATAAAGATCCTTGCAAAGAAGGTGGGTCTCCTTGTGGTGGTGCCAAGAAAAAGGCAGATTCTTGTGGTGGTGACAAGAAGGAAGATCCCTGCGAAAAATATAACACAAAGAAAGATCCCTGCAAAATGAAAGATATATGTGGAGGCAATAAACAAAAGAATGATCCCTGCAAGAAACAAGATAGCAGTTCATGTGGCAAGAAGGAAGATCCTTGCAAAAAGAGAAAATCAAGCCCATGTGGTAGTCGAAAGGAAGATCCTTGTAAAAAGCAAAAAGATGATCCCTGTAAAAAGAAAAAGGAAGACCCATGTAAAAAAACTAAAGAAGATCCCTGCAAGAAGAAAAAAGACTCGCCATGTGGCAGCAAAAAGGACGATCCTTGCAAGAAAAGTACAGATGATCCTTGTAAAAAAAGTAAAGATGATCCCTGTAAAAAGCAAAAAGATGATCCTTGCCAGAAGAAAAAAGGCTCGCCATGTGGCGCTAAAAAGGAAGATCCCTGTAAGAAAAGTAAAGATGATCCTTGCAAGAAGAAAAAAGACTCAACAAAAAGTCCATGTGGCAGCAAAAAAGAAGATCTTTGCAAGAAAAAACCCACAAGTCCTTGTAAGCCAAAAAAGGACAGTAAATCTAAATGTCAAAAAACATCCAATTCTAAGAAAAAATCATGTGAAAAACAAAAAAAGGAAACAAAACCTAAATGTGGACAAAATAAAAAATGTTTTAGTACATCAGCTGTAGCGACCAACGACAGTTATAACAACTTAAATAAGCGTACTTTCTCAAATTTCACATCCACCATGCCCTCCACAAAGAATAGAAACTGGTTCGATACTAATTTTAAGCGTTACTATAGCTCAAAACGTAATGGTAATAAGAAAAATCCCGATGATCTCGGCCGGACCAGTCAATGTAAATCTGTGGAAACTAAAGTACCGCCTAAACGCAAACCCGCTTATAGTGACCATCCTAAAGATGGTTTACGAAAATGTTATCCCACCTATGATATGGATTGTCAACAATTTTGTAAAGATGCTCGAAAGACAGATTGCAGAAAATATGCTTTCCTAAAGGATACCGATAATAATAAACGTAATGGTTAGTTTCGCAATATTTAAAAATATTTCCAATGTTTTTCTAATAGTTTTAATTATAATTCAAGGTAAAAAATAACCAGGTTAAACTGACAAATCTTAAAAGATAATCCACACTTGCAAATAAAATCTGTATAAAATCATGAAGACCTTAAGGGAAATTCAAAGAATGGTTGTGTACACTCCAAGATATTGTGATAAGTACAAAGTAAGAACTCGGTTAAAATATTGCAAACCAAATTGTAAACATTTTGTGCATTTTTTTTATTATATTGCTGGACTTTCGCAACCTGGAACGGATAGAATAAAGACCTTTTTTTAGTAACTTTTTAAAACTTTACTGGTCCAGCTCACTAACGGTTATTGCTAGATTTAATATACTTAGGAAGTCCTCATAAAACATAAATCCATGTTCAATTTTCAATATATACTAGACGATAGACTACTCTATATAATAGACTAGTCTGTAAACTACTCTAAAGACTAGACTGTTGCCAAAATACACTTAAAGGACCTTTTAAATTATATAAAATTTTATTAAATATTATTACTCTTTGTGTAGTAGTAATCTCTTTCAGACTTATTTATATTATGAGATAATATAAACAAGAAATGTTCTCTTTTGAAGTTTAATAAAAATTCGACAGAAGTCGGTCATAAATATCATTTTATCATAACGATATTTTAATTATACTAGGACTTTGACTTCATATGTGCCTCCGTTGCGTTAGTGGTTAGTATTCAAGTATGTTATACCGGAGGTCGTTTGTTCGATTCCCACCATATACACTTGTAAAAGAGCGCACCATAGGTCCAATGGCCTCCTAGGTGTACTTTCAAACTAACCAGTTTTTATATAATGTAATTTCTATTCAAAATTCTAACTTAAAATAAAGGTATGATTTTTAATATTTTCAGATTTCTCATAAAATTTAGATACATATATCAATTATGGAGAATGGGCGTTAACTTTCAAACAACATTGGACAATTTCGCTAAAGTATAAAGAAACATTGTAAAAAATATTGAAAATTCAGAAAAATTCCATGTGTACAAAATAATACATTTACAACAATATTTAAATATATCTTTTTTAAATAAAATAATCTAAATCTAGATTTCAAACTTTAACACGATTTGTGCATGAAAATTTCCAAAATTTTCTCTGCAGCTTTTAATTATCTGTTCAGATATGGTTTCGATATATGCAAAAATTTAAAAAAAAAATTTATTTATTTTTGAAAAAAATTTCAAATAAAATCAAATTTCTTATAATAAACATAACATTTATTACCGTCAAACACAATCTGTTAATATAGTAAGTACATATTTAGCAAAGTCAACAACCATCAACTTTTTAAATACATCTGCAAACATTCATTTTTAAATATTCTGTTAATAATAAATGTTACTTACATTGTTAATAACTTCCTTTTCCGTTGCCACTGATCTACTATTTTTTTTCTTTTTTTTTCTTAACAACAGCTTTCTTAAAATAAAACACTTATCTACTACTCATTCATTTTTATTTGTTAATTTTATTTATTTTCATTCTTTAACTTAACGATTTAACACTGTGTTAACACTCTCATATTCTGTAAACAACCAAAAGAAAACAGCACTAGATAAGGGAACTTAAATTTCTTCTTTTTTTCATATATTTCCACTTTTATTTTCTATAAGCTTTTTATCTTTCTTACTTTTTTTACTCTGCCTTTTAAGCTTTCTTTTTTTTAACATTTCTCACTAACACTATTACACTTTTGGTATAAACGCAACGAACGGCCCGATGAAAAGGAAACAGCGACAATCACAAAATTTCTAATAACATTTAAACACTTTTTTCTTATATTTCCTTTAAGATTTTTCAGGAAATTCTTTCACAGAACTATAAAACTATACTTTTGTTATATTTTTATGTAAAAATATTTAAATAATCTTTATTAATTTCTTTATAAATTGAAAGCAAAACTAAGACACTTCTTCTAACCAACCGTACCGCATGAAAAATTCTCGATAATTAAATTTAGTATGTATCCAGTAATAAAGGGAAATGTCAAAAGCTTATGGATGTGTGTGTGAAGATGAAAGGAGTAAGTTAATACGAATGCGCGATTAACTAAAGTAAATGCAGAAATGGGAAAATAGCAAGAAAGAGGAATAGGAAATGTAATGATGATGGATAACATTATTATTTTTGTTTCAGTAGAGGAGGGTAATGTTTATGGAGGGTTTATTTAACAGAGAGCTTTTTACGTTAGGGGTAGTGATGGAAGATGGTAATAAGATTTTTATCAGGACTAAAGTCTATAACTACTAACTAACTAACTAACTAACTAACTAACTAACTAACTAACTAACTAACTAACTACTAACTAACTAACTAACTAACTAACTAACTAACTAACTAACTAACTAACTAACTAACTAACTAACTAACTAACTAACTAACTAACTAACTAACTAACTAACTAACTAACTAACTAACTAACTAACTAACTAACTAACTAACTAACTAACTAACTACTAACTAACTAACTAACTAACTAACTAACTAACTAACTAACTAACTAACTAACTAACTACTAACTAACTAACTAACTAACTAACTAACTAACTAACTAACTAACTAACTAACTAACTAACTAACTAACTAACTAACTAACTAACTAACTAACTAACTAACTAACTAACTAACTAACTAACTAACTAACTAACTAACTAACTAACTAACTAACTAACTAACTAACTAACTAACTAACTAACTAACTAACTAACTAACTACTAACTAACTAACTAACTAACTAACTAACTACTAACTAACTACTAACTAACTAACTAACTAACTAACTAACTAACTAACTAACTAACTAACTAACTAACTAACTAACTAACTAACTAACTAACTAACTAACTAACTAACTAACTAACTAACTACTAACTAACTAACTAACTAACTAACTAACTAACTAACTAACTAACTAACTAACTAACTAACTAACTAACTAACTAACTAACTAACTAACTAACTAACTAACTAACTAACTAACTAACTAACTAACTAACTACTAACTAACTAACTAACTAACTAACTAACTAACTAACTAACTAACTAACTAACTAACTAACTAACTAACTAACTAACTAACTAACTAACTAACTAACTAACTAACTAACTAACTAACTAACTAACTAACTAACTAACTAACTAACTAACTAACTAACTACTAACTAACTAACTAACTAACTAACTAACTACTAACTAACTAACTAACTAACTAACTAACTAACTAACTAACTAACTAACTACTAACTAACTAACTAACTAACTAACTAACTAACTAACTAACTAACTAACTAACTAACTAACTACTAACTAACTAACTAACTACTAACTAACTAACTAACTAACTAACTAACTAACTAACTAACTAACTAACTAACTAACTAACTAACTAACTAACTAACTAACTAACTAACTAACTAACTAACTAACTACTAACTAACTAACTAACTAACTAACTAACTACTAACTAACTAACTAACTAACTAACTAACTAACTAACTAACTAACTAACTAACTAACTAACTAACTAACTAACTAACTAACTAACTAACTACTAACTAACTAACTAACTAACTAACTAACTAACTAACTAACTAACTAACTAACTAACTAACTAACTAACTAACTAACTAACTAACTAACTAACTAACTAACTAACTAACTAACTAACTACTAACTAACTAACTAACTAACTAACTAACTAACTAACTAACTAACTAACTAACTAACTAACTAACTAACTAACTAACTAACTAACTAACTAACTAACTAACTAACTAACTAACTAACTAACTAACTAACTAACTACTAACTAACTAACTAACTAACTAACTAACTAACTAACTAACTACTACTAACTAACTAACTAACTACTAACTAACTAACTAACTAACTACTAACTAACTACTAACTAACTAACTAACTAACTAACTAACTAACTACTAACTAACTAACTAACTACTAACTAACTAACTAACTAACTACTACTAACTAACTACTAACTAACTAACTACTAACTAACTAACTAAACTAACTAACTAACTAACTAACTAACTAACTAACTAACTAACTAACTAACTAACTAACTAACTAACACTAACTAACTAAACTAACTAACTAACTACTAACTAACTAACTAACTAACTAACTAACTAACTAACTAACTAACTAACTACTAACTAACTAAACTAACTAACTAACTAACTAACTAACTAACTAACTAACTAACTACTAACTAACTACTAACTAACTAACTAACTAACTAACTATAACTAACTACTAACTAACTAACTAACTACTAACTAACTAACTAACTAACTAACTAACTAACTAACTACTAACTAACTAACTAACTACTAACTAACTACTAACTAACTACTACTAACTAACTACTACTAACTAACTAACTAACTAACTACTACTGACTAACTAACTAACTAACTACTAACTAACTACAACTAACTACTAACTAACTACTAACTAACTAACTAACTAACTAACTACTAACTAACTAACTAACTAACTAACTACTACTAAACTAACTAACTAACTAACTAACTAACTAACTACTAACTACCTACTAACTAACTAACTAACTAACTTAACTAACTAACTAACTAACTAACTAACTAACTAACTAACTAACTAACTAACTAACTAAACTAACTAACTAACTAAACTAACTAACTAACTAACTAACTAACTAACTAACTAACTAACTAACTAACTAACTAACTAACTATTTAAGCAACTAGATTTGAATTTTTAACAGTATTATACACACCCTGTATTCACAACAAACACTTTAACCACTTGAATACACTACTGTCCAGCAGATGGCGCACTCGTCATACAGCTTTTGTTATCAAAACATTTCTGCTGCGTTCAACACCCAAACACATATATTTATTCAATATATATTGAAATTTACAAGTTTGTTGCGATCAACACACAAACACGTACATTCCTTACTAGTAATTTCTCTTACGGACCACTCCCTAACTTACAAAAAAAGTTTATATAAAATTACGACTATTTTTTTTACTAAAAACATATATATTTCTCTGGTATTGATTACGACCACCAAAATGAAAAATAAATATTAAAAAAACTTAACATTTTTTATTTTTTTACTTTTTTTATTTACAAGTCGACTTTTTCATAGATGAAAGGCTAGATATCGACTTTTTTGGAACAAAACAGTCGACTTCTACTTTTTAGAATAAAGTTGATTGTTCGATTATTCGAAAGCCGTTTTATAGAATCCTACAAACAGCTGTTGTTTTGACATTTCATTTGTTTGATTTTATTCAGTGAGGAAAGAAGAACAACTGCACGTGTTAAGAGTCAATACAAAACGAAAATTTATTAAAAAAATCGTAAAATTTTCCTAAAATTAAACTTTAAAAATGGGTAAATTAAATGTTACCGTCTTACGTTATCTAACGCGAGAAGATTTCCGTGTTTTAACTGCGGTAAGTGAACGTTTTTTATGCAAAAGTAAACAAACTACTAAAGCCCCTAATTATTTTAGGTTGAAATGGGAATGAAAAATCATGAACTTGTACCCGGACCCTTGGTAGCCTCTATAGCTAATCTTAAGTCTGGTGGTGTACACAAGTTACTAAAAGAATTGTGCAAACACAAATTGTTGACCTATGAAAGAGGCAAAAAGTGTAAGTTTTCATGTAAACAATTTTATGGAGATAAGATTTAAAAAATACACAATTTTTTTCAACAGTTGATGGCTATCGTCTAACCAACACCGGCTATGACTACTTGGCTTTGAAATCCTTAACTTTGCGTGGTTCTGTCTCCTCATTTGGCAATCAAATTGGTGTTGGTAAAGAATCCAATATTTATGTGGTGGCTGATGAAGAGGGCACACCCATCTGTTTGAAATTACATCGTTTGGGTCGTACTTGCTTCCGTAACATTAAGTCTAAACGTGATTATCACGGACGTAGACATAAAGCTTCCTGGTTATATTTGTCTAGAATTTCGGCTACTAGAGAATTTGCCTATATGTCGGCTTTGTATGATAGAGGTTTCCCCGTGC